GTAGTGGAGGCTGGGAACCACATACTGTGGGACAGCCACCACCATCATGTTTTTAAAACTGTCCGTCTCCACCAGATTGAATGACAGCATTTCAAAGGCCAGGAATTTTGAAATGCTGGCATTCAGGGCCAGGGATCGCGGGTGGGTAGGAGGTACTTCCTCTTTCTCTCCAGTGTTTGGGAGATGGACAGCTGAATGCTTCCATGGGACAGTGTGGAGATGCTTGGGGATGGTGGCAGACTTGGTGGAGTTGCTGCCACATCCTCTGATTGCTGGGTGGCAGGTGCCACTGTCACTCCAGAGGTGAAGGAAGAGGCCGAGACAACAGCAGAAGAGGAAGCAGGAGGAACCTGACACCTTTCTTGGTTTTTGAGGTGCTTACTCCACTGCAGCTCGTGCTTTGCATGTAGATGCCTGGTCATGCAGGTTATGCTCAGGTTTAGAACGTTTATGCCTCGCTTCAGGCTCTGATTGAACAGCGTGCAAACCACTTGTGTCTTGTCGTCAGCACATTGTCTGAAAAACTGCCACGCCAGGGAACTCCTTGGAGCTGGCTTTGGTGTGCTCGGTCCCTGGGTACGGTGGGCAGTAGCAGGTGTACTGTCTTGGGGACGGCCACTCCACTTTTGCACCCTGCTCCCTCTTGTGCTGGTGCCTCTGTGTGACCACTGCCTCTTCCTCCAAACTGGACACGTCACTCGCATGACCTTGATTCCATGTGGGGTCTAGGACCTCATCATCCTCCACATCATCTTCCACCCACTCCTCAACCCTGCCCTCCTTGCCGGTCCGTTTACTACAATTTCAAAGATACACAATATAGCCTCAATCTCGAATTTTATATTGTCTCTCTCTCCCTCGTTTTAATGTCTTAAACACATTAAGAGAGATTTCTATGCATTAGTTTATTATAGAGCACATTGCCTAGTAGTAACGTATTATTCACTCTAGTCATGTGATCGCACATACGGTCACAACATGATGATGTCAATTTGGTGCCAAATTTTAAATCTGTATCATTTACAAATCCTCTTGGACCAGGGAACCCAATTCACAACTGATATAACCCATCAGCTGTAGAAAGTTTGTGGCACCAAGCCCATACAAAGCTCACCCTACCACACCCAGACTAACGGACTATGCGAGCAGTTTAACAGTACCCTCAAGCAGATGTTGAGAACCATTACCGCCACTTGCAGAGACTGGGAGCAAATCCTGCCCCATCTTTTGTTTGCATATTGAGAAGGGCAGCAGGAATTTTCCCTTTCGAGTTACTCTATGGGAGAAGGGTACGATCTCCCCTTAATCTCATTAGGGAACACTGGAAAGGGGAAACGGAACATGAGGGAACCCCCATCGTACCGTATGTGCTGGAACTCAGAGACAGCATGGAGCAGTTGGCCAGGTAGTAAAGGAAAACCTGGG